ATAGCCCTGATCTCGCGCCATCGGATTACCACTTATTTCGATCTCTGGACAACTCCCTTCGTGGTAAAACTTTTAACGAGATGATGACGCTGTAAAATCTCACTTAACTCAGTTTTTGGCCGAAAAGGATCAGACTTTCTACGAGCGTGGAATTTTCAAGTTGTCGGAGAGATGGCAAAAGGTCATCGAACAAAATAGAAAATACACACATTACAGATTAAACTTCATTCCAAGTAAAAAGAATTTTTTATTTCATTGAACAAATCGGCAATTACTTAGTTGCCAACCCAATACTTTGACTCGATCTGATATTTGACACTTTAAAGTTGTCACACGTCGTCCATGTACTTCGCGCGAAGAAAATGAATCTATTTAATCTAATCTAATCTAATCCGAATCTATGTCATTCGATCTTCCGTCGACCAATATACCCGCGGTCCTAAAAACAAACGCCGCATTGAGTTTTCCAACGCAGCGCCCCTAAATTACTATAAAAACGAATAGAATAATGCAAGCCGCGTCGGGGGTTGCGGGGCGAACGAAAAGGGCAAGTCTCCCCGAAATTTCCGGAGGACCGGGAAAACTCTGGGGGATCGATACGATCGGGGTTCGTTGTCTCTGTCGCGGCGTCGCGATTATTTTCGGTCGGCAAACAACCGGGCGTCGGAATCCATTGAAACGAGCGGTCTGATTTGTTGCGGGTTCGACGCGGCCCGACAATTAGCAAAGTTACGGAGCTGGCAAATAGCGCGGCCAATTCGACGTTTATAGCTTATAGCCGATGCGGTGCGGTGCGGTGCGGTGCGGCGTGTGCACGCGCCCGTTGTTTATTATCCGCGCGCGGAAATGCGACCCGCTGCGGGCTACATTTTCACCGATAATATTTTCCTGGCGCACATTCGCGCGTCTTTCGCCGTTCGAAAATAACGCGATCGAATCGCCGCGTTTGCGGTCCTCGCACCCCGGAACACCGGGCGGAACAAAAAAAAAAAAACACGCGTACAGATCGCCGGCGCGATACGCAACAATAGCAACAATGCCGCGAATTTACGGGAAATTAATCGCGGAGAAGATCCGCCCTGTTGTTCCAGCATGGTTCGTCGAATGTTCTTTTCGGTGTTACATATTGCATGCTGTTCGCGGATCGATCGACACTGTTTTCAGCACCGATTGCATACTTTGTTACGATTCCAGCGCGGTTTTGCGAGCTCGTAGCATAATCGGCAGACTGCGGAACTTCGTGCAAAATAAGAATTGTCTGCATCGACTGCAAGATGCAGGAAGTTGACAGACGTTTCAATCTGTTCTGAACAAGTTTAATAATGTATTGGACAATACCATTTTTAAATGCTTGAAATCTTTTCGTTGTCACGAGTTTCATGTATTCATTTCCGTCCTGAAAGCATAAAGTCTGACAATTCAGCGGATCTTCGTGCAAAATAGAAATTCGGCGAGTAAATTAAGAAAAGAAAAAGAAGATAGATTCTTTCGTTGCTTTAACGATTTTTGCGTTTCCTCTTCGCGTTAAGTGTTTCAACGATTAATTCGACGATGATTTTACAATATTCACTTTCGTTTAACTTTTGTGTTCCGGCGACTTTCGACAGCGATATCCCGATAGTTAGGCGATGCTCGGCGACGCAGCCGCTTTGTGTTTTCAAGCGCGAGAGGAAAATAAAAAAGGTATCCGGTCGAGACGCCGCTATAAAGATCCCTCTGAAGATCTCGGTGTCTTGTCAAATACGTTCGCAGATGGAAAGAAAAGAGAAGAAAAGAAAAGAAAAGAAAGAAGAGTTAGGTTTACCCAGTTCGCTTAGGCTTCCGCAGGGTAGCCAAAAGGAAGATGATCGAGACCACGGACCTCCGGATGACTCAGTAGAGAGCGGATTAAAGAAACGAATTGTAGGAACTCAACGCATTTTATTAATAACAGTTCGAGATTCAACATTGAACTTGTTTCATCCTCTCTCACGTTTTAATTCTACGCGAAATGCCCGTGTATCATATAAAGTTATAAATATTATAAATAATCGAGGCGTGTGTGTCCGGGAGTTGCGGCTCGGCGAGCCGGCACAACACACCGGGAGACCATAATTTCTTAGCCAGATTTTCTCCGATCATTGTCCGTCCGAGGCCGACGTTCTTTTCCCGCCTGAAACCATGATCGGCGACCACCGTCAGAACAGGGACCGTCGCCGGAACGGCGTCCGTTGCTCGCTGAAACGGTGTCCCGTCCCGCCGTTGCTGCCGGATCAGGGCCACTTCCGGTCCTCCATGGTCCGCCGTCAACCCTCGCGACGCCGTCGGGTCCTCGGAGACCCGGCGCTGCAACCACTCGGACGTGACTTCCGGCACCGAGGCCGCCGGTCTTCGGGTCTTGAGCCTCGAGAACGCGTCCTCGGATCGCTCCAACAATGTACAAAGGCGACGGGGGACGCCTCGCGGCCGGGTCCCGGTCGACCCGGCGCGGCGGCCCACGGCGAGGGTTAATCGGGTGATCGGCGATCGGCCACGTGATTCGTGACCCGAGGCACTGCGATTTACTTTCTCCGTGTTCTGCTCTCGCCGTGTAGCAAAAACAAAAAGAAGAAGAACGATCCACCGTGACGATCGACACCCACCGGCAGCATGCTTGTCGTTGCTGTTGTGTTGCCCGCGTCTCCTCTGTGTGTGCACGTGTGTCTGTCGGTGTCCGTGTGTTCCTGTGTCTCTGCACGTGTCACGACCGTGTCTGTCGTCGTTTCTTTTGTTCATTTTGTTTCGTTGGTCCCTAATACTCTCTTCCTATAACAATTTCTCATCCAGCTCTCTCGCACATCTTTCTCTCTTTCTCTCTCGCTTATTCTCTCGCTCATTCTCTCTCTCTCTCTCTCTCTCTCTCTCGCTCTTTCCTCGCCTAGATTTGTCCACGTATGACAAAGGAACGAACAAGGAACTCGTCAGAAACCAAGGGAAATCGAACAACGAAAATGGGAACGGAACAACATGCGGCGACCTTTCGTTTCTTCTCTTCGTCCTTGATCCTCTCGATCTTCTTGCACGGTGATTTCACTCGGTAATGAGAACCAGAGCACCTATCTCTCACTATCTTCTACCCTCTCCCTCTCTCTCTCTCTCTCTCTTTCAAACACACACACACACATTCTCTCACTCTCTCTCTTTCTCTCTCACTGTGTCTCTCATATCATTTTTTTGGTATTTTTTGTCGTTTTTCAGTTTTTAGATTATGTTTCGTGGCCCCAATATTTTACAAGACAATAATAACGCTCCGCCCAATGAGAATTTAAAAAAAAAAGATTAATTATACTCTCCTAATGTCGCGCGACACTCCGTGTAACACCGTCTCTCCCCCCTCTCTCTCTCTCTCGCTCACATTCATTCGTCGTGCCCCTTTCTTTCCCATTCTCTCTATCTCTCTTTCCCTCTGTCGTTCAGTCGTTAATTTGCCATTCGTTCGAGCGCGAGTATAATTATCAATATACTTATGACAAGCGAAACTCCGAATCGGAATTGTTCGTGCACACTTTCGGCGAACGGTCGAGGATATCGTTTTTTTTGTTCATTAATATTCTTATGCTATACTCATTTCTCTCTCTCCCTCGCTCTCTTTCTCGTTCATTCTGTCAACCGCGTGTCACTGTACACACACTTGGTCACTCTGTGAAATGTTCTCCCCTATTTTCCTCCTCGCCCGGCATTCTCTTTTAGAAACGATAGTTTTGATTAGACGAACCGTGGATTTCCCGACTCCATTTTTGCTCTCTTTATCTATGGAATGTATCACTATTTGGAAGATTAATCGCGGAGCCTGTCCGACGACGACGAGCTGCCCCGTTTCACCGTGAATCGTTCTCTCTGGCGTCGAACAACCGCCGAAACGTTCGTTCGCAGTTTGCACAAACGCCTCACCGCGTTTCCTGGCTCCGCCCACTTTCCTCCGTCGCTCCGCCTCTGTCGAGGACGCTTGGTGGGGGGCCGGGAGAGTGGGGAGGCGACCTCGAGCAACGAAGATCGCTTTACGATTCTTGAACAGATTCGGGTCGCTTCTCCGACGTTCCCCGCGCGTTTCGAGCCGGTTCTCGCGGTTGGAACAGTGTCACGTGAACGGAAGCGATTCGTCGATGCCGGAAACAAGGGCGTCCACACCTGACCGTGATTATTTGTGTGCAACTTCGACAAGGCGACGGAGCACATTCTCGGAACTAAACTGAATAAATACGCTCGATCGAGGAAGTGTGCTCTATCGCCGAGCTTGCATTCGCTTCCACGCGTTCTCATTCATATCTGCCTCCACATCTGCTATCCTCTGTTATCAATCGCTCCACTTCTCTCTCTCTCTCTCTCTCTGATCTCATTCGCTCGCACCAACCATTATCGTCAATTACTATTATCATTAATAATATTCACCTATACCATAGGGTCCTTAATTTTAATCGGCTAAACTTTGCGAACTTATCGTTTCGAAATTCCTCTTCTAAATTTGTATACTTATGTACAGTCAGGGTCCTTTTAACTTGTCCCCGGGGTAGCAACACTAACACCGTTGTCCTTAGGAAGGGTTCTCTTCTCTGTCGTTCGAATTTTCTCTCTCTCTCTCTCTCTCTCTCTCTCTCTCTATCGCTCGTTAATTTCGTTCTCTCTCACGTTCATTCTCTCTCCTGCTCTCTGCGCTTTCCGTTAAACGCGAACCCTACTCGAGGCGACCGATCGATCGGGCCGAAAACCACGGCCCGCCAGGCCACAGTATTCATCGAATCGAATATATATCTCATAATTGACTTTCTGTTTAATTGTAGAATACGCCGTGTCCGCGGCATCGTTAAATACACTACGTTTCTAGCCATTATTATAACATTGTTGAATCAAACCTTCCGGTGGAGGCGTGCGCGCACGGTCGAACCTTGTCGCGAACGCAACAGCGAGATCGCGGCTCCGATTGGTCCGTAGAGATCCGGACAGCGTGCTCGGAAACATACATCCGTGTCGAACTGTTCTACGGGAAGGATCCGATCGAAACAGTTCCAGAGAACCTCTCCTCCCGAGGAACTGTTACCAAGAACCGAAATTCTAATCGTTTCAGCAACCGGTCAAAATCTGTTTCTGTTTGTCCTGTCGGTTCCAGGACGATTCTTGTTCATTTTCTTTCTTAAAATTTGTCCCAAGCTCTCCTTCACCTCGTCGACGAAACTCGAACGCCCATAAAATCAGTTTGGAATTCACGAATTGTCTACGGCTAATAAGTACACACGTAAAATGAAGTATAAATCGGCAACAAGAAATCGATACTTCCCTTTATTAACTAAAAAATAATAAACGATATAACGAGATAATCACGCAGCTGCTTCGATCGTTTCCAATGTCGGAGGACGACCCGCGGACTATTTTCACTGTGTCTTCCTCCCCAACGGTTACATTTGCAAGGGATCGTAGTAATCCGCAGCTGCGATATTTAAATGAAGAAATCGACGCAAGAATCGTATCAGAATTGGCGCCGACGTGGAAACCGGAATGAAGATAGCGGCACAGACGTAGACAGAGCGGTTAGAAATTTCGATTCTTCGGGACAATCGTTCGGAATCGTGGTGTTCCTGGTAACTGTTCCGAGAGACCGGCGCGATAACGCGCGGTTTTCAGCCGCGGGCGTGCCCAGATTGATCCCGATCGTTCGGCTAATGCGTTCGCGGATCGCCGTGAAAAATCAAGAGGGATGAAGTTCGTCGTTTCGCGACTCGGGGAGTGCCCGTCGAAGTCACCGGCGCGGGTGTCGTCGACGCGTGCACTCGGGAAAATTGATCGATCCTCCGGTGGGTGGCCGCGGTTCCTCGACGATGGAGGAAACAATCATCGGGAAAGGAACGTAGACGAAAGAAACAGAAAAGCATTGTTTTATGGTTGGGGGAGGTGAGAACAAGAACAATCGTCGGCGAAAAACATCGAACCGGTTCTCTATGTCGGCGGCAACTTCGTCGCAACCGTCCGAAGGGTTCGAAAGTTGACCTTAGAGCGTCCTTCGTTCGTCTCCCGTCGCGTTGGTCTTACAACGATGCCTATCACTGTGCGACATTCGACTAGGACGGACAGCGAGTCGCAGCAAAAATTGTACACCGCCTGCACGAAGATACATTTGACGGATAAAACCGGCCGCGCGGGTCTCCTCTTTATGCATTTCTGCCGCGTGCAGCTGGTCCGACGTGAAACGAAACGTTTATATTCACCGCTAGCTAACTTTTAGCGCGTGAAAGAAACAATTCTTATTTCGTACGATTGAACGCGGGGAACGGTGATCTGCATAAATATATGCACGATGGAACTGCCTACAGAACCGCGTAAATGTCTGCGCGGAGAGCTGCATAAAGAACTGCATAAAGAACTGGACAAAGAAGTGCATAAAGAACAGCGTAAAGATTTCATAAACATCGCAGATAAAACCTATCCGGTAGCATCTACGATTCCAACGAGAATTCCAGCAGCCGATGACAATTTCTTGCTGCGGATCTTTATGCAGTTCGAGCACTGTATCGAAACTGTGCGCGGCAACGTAAAATAATTGCATCGGATTCCAGCGTTCATCGAAAGTAATTCGCTTATTCGACGCGAGAGACCCGTTTTCCGGCTCTTCTCATAAAACGGTCGATAAAAGGTCTTCGTGAAGATCGTTTACGAAGCACCATCTAGCAGAAACGAACGGTTTGGTCCTGCTTCGACGAACGAGCATCGCGAAACACGTTCGATCGGACGGTGTACGATTCCTGCGGCGACTCACTGGTTCCCGGTTGCTCGTCTCCGTAGTCCTCTTGATTTCCCACACGGTCGACCGCGCGCCGTGTCCTCGAATCCTCGCCCCTGTTCCGCCTCGATCGGTATACCGTTAAGAAGTTCAATTCAATTTTACCTAAAAACGTGATTGCCTAGAAAGAAGGGGTCGTCAGCCGTGAAAAACTAGCTGCCGAAAATGCACTAGGACCGGTCTCCGATGGGCACGCGAAGATACGTCGAAACCGGTTTTGTCGAACCGGTCGCAAAGCCGCCCCCGCGCGACGCCAGGCGCCAGTGAACGAGAGGGTTCGCGGGGTGGGTCGGAACTTTCGCTTTAACTATTCGTTAACTATATTACACGTTCGATCGCGGCCGTTTCCGGTTCGACGGGGCCACCCTGCGCCGATCATCGGCTGCGATCGGCCGTCGCCTCGTCCGCGATCGGATCCGCCACGTCCACTTCTGCTACCGCGTCAGCGTTCTACGCGTTGTCTAAACGATAATCTACAGGCCGACGCGTTCCTACACGCCGATCCTCGTCTCATTGCTCTTTGCCGGCAACGCGTATCGCTTCATGCGAACCGATCTAAAACGCAACGGTTTCCCTCGACTCGTTCTCCCAATTTTCCAAGGGCCACCGGACCCGGATCTGCTTCGCAGTCTATCGGCAGCGGTGAACCTACCTCGGTTGTCTTACGAAAACGGCAAGATTGAATCCATTCAACCTGTGCAGAAAAATCGATTCAAGTCTCCTTCTATCTTTACAATCTGGCAAATCACACGGTACAAGGCAACAGCGACCGGCAGCGGTAGGTTCGGCTCTAACTTAATCCCAGAACGGTGCCTCGAGTCCGTCATGATGATTCCGGCAACACCTCTACCGATTCTTGCTTCTATATCACGAGGCGTGACATCTCTCAGTATTTTCCGAACGTCCTCGATTTTGAAATCTACATGCCGAAGTCGCTCGTGTTTCCAGTATGATCACGGTGACACGCTTCGTTGTCCAAGGGAATCGAACAAAAATCTCGGCGAATTTTCTATGGTGTTCTCGGCGCGACACACCGTGGCCCAAGGAAACGGGATAAACGGCGAGGCGCGGTAGCAAACGTGGAAGGTAGCTCCGATCGAACACGAATCGACCTGGATGTCGCGCTGCAGGGTGTCCACGGCTCTGGGCCTGCGTGCCGCCGATTTCCGACCGACCCGAAGAAGCCAGCAGAGCCCAGAGCTGGATCCGATTATCCCGAATAGACCGCCTGCGAGGCGTGGCCTTACAGAATATCGAGGTTGAAGCTCGCCGTCGAGTCGAGCGAGTTCAGGAGCTCCTGGGCGCTGAAGTTCGACGTGTCACCGGTTGGCAGGTTCTCCAGGAACTCGAGGCTGAAGTCCGCCGCGGCCACCGACGGATCCGTCGTCGTGACCGACGATTGCGCGTGCTGTTGCTGTGGCAGGCTCCGCACACCTGGACTACCTGCTCCGTACTGCTGGTGCGGGTGCAGAGGAGAACCTGGAAATTAAACGATCGTGTCATTCGACTTCCTCGCTTTTCACCACCGCTCAAGAAAAAACGATTTTTCAAATAGCGAAGAGGCTGCAAATATTTTCATCTTCTCATGCGATACAGAATTTTTAATAGTAGTTGTATTTAATATTACATAATTATTATAATAATATATATTATATATATTATATTATTTATTATTTATTATTTATATTATATATTATTTATGTTATATATATAATTATTATAATATTTAAGTTGGTAAATAGCACTTCAAATATATTGTGTAACTGCTTGCCATGTGTAACTGCTCTTTGAAACAATTTGATTGTCAAATTCTGTATTACACGAGAAGATAAAAATATTTATAGTCTATTTACTATTGCAAAAGGTTTATTTGTCAAATTCTCTACTACACTAGGAAATAAAACTTATTTATAGTCTATTTACTATTTGAAGAATTTTTTTTGTCAAATTTTATATTACACAAGAAGATAAAAATTATTTATAGTCTATTTATTATTTGAAAAATTAATTGTTCCCCTACATTTTATTTTGTTTTGGCTTAACAGACATCAGACTGCGGATCTTTATGGGAAACGAACGATTTCTATGGTGCTGCAAGGTGTTGGACCTTTATTTTTGTTCTTCGTCACTTTTACTATCTTTGATTGTCGTCATTTGAGAGAATAATGAGGTGTCGGCAACCTCTTTTGACCGAGGATCAAAAGCAACCAAAATGTGACTATTAGGAAGACGTTTCAATAGTATTTTCACATTAAAACAGTGTTTTAGTATACAGTAAGATAAGTTTTATTGAGAAAATTATTTTCTTTACAATCAATAAGAAAGTAAGAACCAAAATTTCTTTCGCATTGGACCTTTGAACATAAAAATGCAAAATTCTGATACTAATTACTGTAAAGACAAATATAATTGTCAAATTGTCAAATGGGTAACTTGGTGATCTATAACCTTGGATCATAGGTTGCTGACGCCTGTTGTAAAATCTCTTCCCGAAGAGAAATTGAAGATGAGATTGTCGATAATTGTAATAACGTGTTGCAATTTTTTAACTTGATGTTACTCTTGTTCCTTTAACTTAACGTCACTATCGCTCAAGAAATGCTTGAATCGCTAATTTGTAAAAGAATAAAAAATTCGCAAAGTGCAAGTACATAATTTGATCAATGAAATTAAAACTAGAAAGTTCAAATTTACCATTGTAAGTACTAGTTTAACTCTTTGAATGAATTAACTCTTTAATAAAATTTAGTTCGTTCAAATACATTGCAATAAAAATGAGTTTCAAAATTTAGTTATAAATCAATGTAACCCATAAGTGATTTATCTGACATAAAGAATAATTGATAGTCCGATGCATACACTCGGCGCGTTCGAATAAAAGATACTATTAATATTATCAATTTTTTGTTAACATAAAGATCCGCAATGCGATAATCACCGACAAATATTTAAATATCCCGAATCTACAGGGTGGTTTTTAAAGTAGTTGACACAAACTTGAATAGTTCAAAGTTATAGATCGAAGCTGCGGTATGAATTGAGTAATGTTTCGCATAAATATCCGTATAACAAAAATTCATGGAAATCGAATTCCGCTGAACAATGTGCTTCGGTGGTCGGAATACCTCGCGATCGAACATCGCGGAGCACTTTAAATAATAAAGTAACCGGGATAAACACAATCCGAGGAGCGATTTGGAAATGGTAAACATATTAATTGGTATTTCGATAGACTTCAGTGGCTGGGTATCCGAGTGTATCGAATTTATTGCGTGCATGTGGTACATGAAACGAACATCGAAAGTACCCGTAGAAATCGTATTTAAATTAATCCGTGAAATCGCTTCATATAAATACGATTGATGGGTTTCGATAGAATCGGTGTTAATAACGTAGGATCGGAGGAATTTACGACGATTTGAAACTGCTGGTGTGGATATCTTATCGAAACATTAAGACGAGGTAATCGTCCGTAAGTTATCTACTATCAAGTTCGCGTCAGCTTCCTTAAAACGCTCTGTAAAGTCGGTTCGTCGGAAAATTAACGCGATTCGAGTATGTATTGCCCGATAAATAAATAATTGAACAGCACTAGGACAGCAGGCAAATGTAATAGATTGAGTATTTTCAGGAGGATATATTTATTAAAAAATGTACGTTTTAACATATTGTCCAGACAGATGTGACTCTATTCGAGGTGCGAGGATTTACAATATTCATCCTGACACAGTGTCATTTAGTGTATAACAATATGACCTAAAAAAGATGAAACATTCACAGTACATTCAAAATATTTGTAAATTTACAATACTTTTTTAATCATCAGAATATCTAAAATCGATAACATCAAAAATTCCATTTTGATTTATTTTTTATTTATTCCAAAATGGTAGAATCATTTATACAATTCCAAAATATCATTGTGTTACTGCCGATTGAATTCCATTAGAATGGTTAGGAATAGAAATAAATGTCAATGTAGTTTCTCCATCTTGTAACTAATGAAAACGATTTTTATTTTGCATTGTTATCATTGAAATCGTTAAAAATCAGCAAACATATTTCTCTTGTTTTTGTCAAGTAAAATAAAATGACTCCTCCGTCAATATCCTCGTCGGCATCTTCCAAGACGTTGCAGCAGCAGAGATTAATATTAAAAGGTACGGAAGAATTTTCAAACGGGTAGCGCGCGTTAATTTTCGTCGATTCGATCGGATCAGTGTGGAAAGAAACGATACGACGAAAAAGGCGCGTACAGCCAGAACTCACCGGTGCCGGTACTGCTGACCGAGTTGACCGACGAAGACTGCGACATTTGCATCTGCAGTGACATCTGATTATTACTCTGCTGCATCGCTAATGTCTGTTGCTGGTGTTGCTGCGACAGTAGCTGCTGCATCTGAGTGGTGTTGCCCATCCCGGAGCCAGCAATGCCCCCACTCTGGGTGCGGATCAACTGTTGATGCTGCATCTGAGCGGCATTCATCTGCATTCCTCCCGTGCCACCCATTCCGAATCCACCTGCAACACCGAACAAAGTAACACGATTTAATTTCGATCGATCTCCGACCCTCGATATTCAATTCGTTTCACTCCCTCTCGAATCTTTTATCGATCTCGACTCCCTCCTCATAGAATCTTCCACTTGGCGACACAACTTTCGCTCTGACTTCGATCTTTTGTCTTTGGACTGCGTGAGTCTATGATTTAGAGCGACGAATGCGATCACGTGCATCAACCCTTACCGGTACAATTTCGTCATATATGCGGTAAGAGTCGATAAAACCGTAAAACCAGGCAGGAAACTTTGGTAGAATAGGCACGATAATTTTGATGAAAATACAGGGTGTAAATGCTCTAATGATTTGACCTCGATCTAAGCTCCTTGAAATAATAGCAATTTTTATATCGTAAAAGAAAAGAGTGGTCTTTTGTTTTACCTAATGATGGCAGCAATTTCTACAGGGTGTTCTACAATTATTTTAACAGCCGAAAATGAGGGGTAGCTGAGGTCATTTGAAGTAACTTTTTCCTTAGCGAAAATGCAATCCGCGGCTTCGTTTACGAGTTATTGACGAAAAACAGTGACCAATAAGAGGCGAGCTCGACTGGCGCGAGGTGGCCAAGCCCGAGCGCACGAAGCCCAGTTACGCTCATTGGCTCGGAAGTCTCGCGGCCGCTGACTTCACCTCTCATTGGTCAGTGTTTTTCGTTAATAACTCGAAAACAAAGCTGCAGATTGAATTTTCGCTAAGGAAAAAGTTACTTTAAATGACCTCGGGAACCCTATTTCCGGATTGCGAGACATTTTTAGGGCACTCTGCATAGGAATGCATTTTTATAAAATATTTTTTTCTGTATTTGATATAAAAATCTTTAGCACATAATTTTTCTTCGTATGAAAAATAACTTGGACCCGGCGATGTGTAAACTTGAAACACTTCTGGTCCTCTAAGGGTTGGTACTGAATAATTAATTTAATTATACCGTCGGAATATTATTTTCCATGTTTTTAAACACGAGTGCAGTTGCATTTGCTTGTAACTTTGCTCGATATATTCTTCAAACAATGATGAAATAAAGTGGATAAACTCGAGTTTATTAATAATTTACTAAGTGATCCAATATTTTCATTCTATTCCGAATTATAATGACGAGACTGCGAATCTTTATGCAAATCAAAAATGTTCTTCATCCATTGCATAAAACAGAAGTTAAATAAGAAAATATTTCATCTTCTAATGATGTTAATAAAGTGAAAGCGATGCAACAATATTTTTAAATTCTTCTCGTGCCTTTAGTACTCTGCGTTTCGTTCCTCAATTTTTGCTATAAATACTTCGAATTTTATTTATTGGTCACTTTCCACTTCGAAGTCGTTCGATGCAATAATTATTTTTCACCGAAAGGTGATGGCGATTTGGAAACGTTTAGTATGCTTTCAGACACGAATGTGTTGCAAATTGAACTAAAATGCTCGTCAAGATCAAATTGTGTTAACTATGGTAAAATATATTGATATTTTTATATTAGACTATACCATTGTACGAGTATTTTTATAGTTAAAATTCGTATGGCTTATAAACATATCACTTAACACTAAACCTGTAGAGTCTTGTCACGTGATTAACGCGTGTTGCTTTAGAAAATGAAAAGACAGAATTGATTTGATCTTTCAATTATAACGTAATCTCAAACTAGACTGGAGGATCCAATTACTGTAATACAAATAGCATAAACAATTTCTCGCGGTATTTCAAAGACTTCCGCCTTTTGCATGTTCAATTCTCCTAAGTAAATAACTAATCGAATTTAAATAAAAACAATTTCACGCGTCTAGCTCGACGAATACAAAGTTAATTATGCTCGAAAAATGAGCAAAACGGGCACAGTAATTGATCCAGCTATTCCACGGTAAATGGCCCCGCTACCCTATACGATTACCGCGGTGCAGGAAAATTTAACGATCGGAACCCCGCCCGTCGGTGGCACGAGGAGCGAGCGGTCGCGCGATTAGGTGCACACGCACGGCGTACATACTATGTACTCTCGCCGCATCCCGCTCGCGTAGAGACGCTTACCTTGATGACCTTGCTGGTTGAATTGCGATCGCATCTGCGTCTGAAAGCCCTGCTGCTGCATCAGAACATGTCTCCACTCCTGCTGGGCGCCGCGGCCCGCGATGCTATTCCCAAGGCCGTCGGGCGGGCCGACACTCACGTTAGGCGGCCGTTGATTGTTAGTCCTAGGATATCCGAGACGCTGGTGCATCTGATGCATTCCGCCGATGGCGGCCATGCCGCCGCCACCCATGTACATGTTGCCGCCGGCCGCGTGCAACGCCTGCTGCTGCTGCTGCGCCATTTGCGGCCTCATCATCGGACCTGGGGCACACCAAACAGAGCGATCATGTTAGTTGGTCGGCTCCGGTCAGATCCGAGCACATTTCGATTTACGTTACTTCAAATATTCGCACGTCATTTTTAACCGTACATTTTTCATCGACGAATTTTATTTCGTGAGAAATGTTTCGAGAAAGTTATTTGTTTCAACGATATTTAACACGTTGACTGCGGGGCCCCCCTATTCGGGTGACAGTAAAAGTTCTCATCAGGCCACGTCACCCGTAATTCGGGTGACGCCGATTTGACTACTTACAAAGGATTTCCGAAAATATTTCGACAAATATTCTACAGGAGGTAAACTATTGAATTCTTATAAAAATGGTTTATTAAAAAAATTATTCGCAGTGTATAACATTAAAACATTCTCTGCAAAGTTGAGGTTGATCAGGACAGCTTGGACAAAAAGTTGTTTGTTTTTTCAGATACGCTCGTGCCATTTCGTATCTTTTATTTGAACTGTAGCTTCCTCAGTATCATCAACATTTCTTTCTTCTTCCATGACCAATTCTCTCGTAAAATCTCGTCAATAGTATCTTCATAACATTCATTATCACTAAGATTATATTTATCAGTATCCAAATCAGAATCTGACGATGTAATTTTATTTATGCTTCTCCTTCCGGGCAATCCGATCTCTTTTCATTATTGAAAAAAAATAAGGGCAGAGATTTTAACCCTTTGCACTCGAGGGCTCCGGAGCGGAGCCATTTAAAATTTGTCTTCAAACTCGAGGGCTCCGCTACGGAGACAATGCAAATAATTTTCAGTTTTTAACATAAGAACAAAAACAAATCGTAAAAATTAGTTATAGGATGTTTCGCTGTTGGTGACAAATGACGTTTGTATCCATAAACAATTAAAAAAATAATAACATACAACGATGACTTTTCTTTTAATGCTTATATCATGAACTTACATGTGAATATGATCTTTTCACTAAAATGGCTTCGAGTTGCTGGTAATATGACTCAAAAAAAACTTCGAG